TTAAGATTTACTATGACTTTCTGAGACCTTCAACTGAAAAAAAGGCAATGGTCAAGTCCATGTAAACTAGTCAAATCTAGCAAAATAAAACTTAGAAACAAAAGCAAGATTCATTCTATTGTGTGCCAGTCATTTCTTTAAACAATTAAGTGACACACCAAAGGGAGGTTCAAGGGGCTGGGGAGATGGCTCAGTAGAATAAGCGCTTCCCTGGCAAGCACAAGGGCCTGAGTTCAATACCCGGTTCTGAAAAAAAAAAAAAAAAAAAAGGGAGGCTCAATTTATGAAAGCTTTTCCAGGAGCAATCCCCACATCACCAGCACCCGAGTCGACAGAGACACCAGTTTGGAATGCAGGTCTCTGAATCTTACCCAAGACTGGGAGCCTGTATTTAATGAGTCCCCACCTGCCACCCACAGGAGTCTGTGGATCTCTGTGCTGCATGCTACGGTGCCACAGCCACCCTTGACTGAGGACAGAAGTTATGCTTGCCCAAGTTACAAATCCGAGCACACCTTTACTTTACATGTGGTACAATCTGGTAAATGCAGAAAAGTATTCTACTTCATATTTCCATGATCAATTATTTCCATTTGGTACATCACTGAAAACCTGGCAGATCATTCAGTTAAAAAAAAGATTAAAAAAAGATTCATAGAGGAATTAAACTAATGTTTTCCTCCAAACAAAATATCTTTCTCTTCATGGGCCAAATCAGCATTGGCTGATGGGGGAATGAACCGCAACAGGACAGTGAAGCTGATTATCAGGGAAGGCTAAATTTTTGCTTTCAAGTATAAAGATTAACTGTGAACAGCAGAGTCTGACTTGATGGTTATCAGCCACAAGGAACTCAAGATGAGGAAAGCAAGAGCACTCTGGAAATTACATTCTTTTTTATACGATTCAGCTTTACAATCTGTATAAGCAAGGGTCTGAGACTCTGACAATGCTGCAGAGCTGCCCAGAGGGCCCAGTTCCCAAGGAGACTTGTGCCACAAGCGTCTCCCTGCTACGGTGTGGTGAGGCACGCTCTCCGCCAACCTCACTTTAGCTTGGTCCTCTCGTCTCACGGTGGCTACTTAGGAGTCGGGCTGTAATCTTTGGAGTTCCAAGAGTCTTGGCAGACCCCTAGGTCATCGTATGAAGGCTACTCTTCAGGTTGCGTAACATATGACAGCTCTTACGGGAGACAAAGTTTCCTTTCTCTTTGCCAAGAGAACAGTGTCTGGGGGCTCGGCTTTGGCTCACTTTTCTTCACATGTGCCTTCATGAGGGCCTGCATGTGTGCAGCAATTGAACCAGCTATTTCTGCATTCTTCCTGTGCTGGCCAAAATAGTCTAAAAACTCACCATCTGGTCCAATCAAGTACATTATTTATTTTTGTATGATCCACTATGTAGTCCTTGTCTTCATCCTTGGGGCCAGGGCTGTAATACACTCAGTAAGCTCTGGCCACTTGTTCTTTTGTGCCAGTCAAGCCAACCACTTTGGGAGAAAATTCTTTCACATAATTTGCAGTGGTATTTATTTATTTATTTATTTATTTATTTATCGGAACTGGGGATTGAAGTCAGGCCATTGTGCTCGCTGGGCAAGCACTTATTCTACTGAGCCATCTCCCCAGCCCTGCAATGGTTTCTTTTGTGTCCCTTTCTGGATCAATGGTGATGAAAAGTGAAGTTAAATTTGGGAGAGTTGGAATACTATCTATTTCATCCACAACTTGAATCATCTTTTCCAGTTCTTCTGGACAGATAACAGGGCAGTTCGTGAAACCAGAATAAATCACTACCCACTCGCCTAGGTAGTCCTTGTTAGTTTTGGGCTCTCCAGTATGGGTTGTTAGGAAAAATGGACCCCCAAATGAAGGCTTCCCAAAGCCTCAATGCTGGTCCTTCTTCAGCTTTTCTGTCTTTTCCTTTTTGAAGTACTCATCCCAGCCAATAAAGCCCCTCCAATAGCAAATGTGATTGCTAAAGACTTCCAGGAAACAGGCTATCCAGGCTTCGATGGGTTCATGGGGTCTCTGTGACCCTTAGGCTCCGTCCCTGATGACTCCGGGGGGGGGGGGGCGGCAGCCCTGTGCTGAAGGGCTGGCTTCCCGAGACCCCACCGCCCCACTTCCTGCCACTCACAGAACTGCCTCAGCAAGACGTTGGCAGTCCTCTCTGCTGGGGTCCGGAGCCAAAGTCGGCGGGGAGGAAGGAGACGCCAAAGCTGGTCCCCAGGAACCCGCACCAACCCAGCCGTGAGCCTGAACCGACCGCGCCTTCTCTGACCCACCCCGCTATTCTGAACCTTTACATTTAATATATCTGTTAATTTCGCATTAAGGACGGTTCACTGAGTGTACAGTAAGCACAATGGAAGCACTTTTTTTTTTTTAAGTACTTTTTGAGTTCACAGAAGAACTTTTTTGGAGAAGTATTTATCACACCATTAATATGGGTTTCCGTTTTTTAATATGTCACTTAATCTTGTACTTTTTAGTAATTACTAAAAATAATAAGCTTTGATCATAAAGTTAACACTAGCAATGGTGTAAATATGTACCACCTGATTTTCCACATGGAATCCTGTTTATATCACTCATTCAGCCCTTAATGCCTTCTCCTGTGTGTGTGTTCTCTATGGAGAGCTGGGAGACAGATAAAGATTTAAACCATCAAGGGCTGTTAAATAGAGTACAAGGAATAATGGTAACATAATAAATTTGGTTACTTATTATTCATCTTTTTGAAGTGGTAACAGTAAGAAAGGCAGTTTACTTGAACAAGGTTGGTAATTTCTCTACCTACTTGGGCTAGTTGCAAACTTTACAAATGTATATAGTATGAAGCTAATTTTGAAAATATTTCTAAATATGTACAGAACCTTGAGATATTTATTTATTTATTTATTTGGGGGAATACTGAGGATTGAACTCAGCACCTTGTGCTTGCCAGGCAAGCACTTATTCTACTGAGCTATCTCTCTGGCCCCTAGATATTTATAAGTAAATGTGGATAAAAAGAATGTGTGGGCTGCTCAAAAATGCTGATCTAAAAAAAAAAAGTTGATCTTAAAAGCCTTTTCATAGGAATGGAGATATAGCTCAGTGATGGAGCGCCTGCCCAGCATGTGCATGGCCCTGGGGTCAACCCTAGCACTAAAAAAAGAAGAAAGAAAAAAAAATCAAAACAACAATGTAGGCCTGGGGAGATAGTTCAGCAGAAGAAGCACTTGCTTGGCAAGTACTGGGTCCTGAGTTCAATCCCTGGAACCGCAAAACAAAAAACAAAAGCCACGGTAAGAGCATTTAGAAATTAATTATTATGGGCCTGGGGAGATAGCTCGGTGGCATAAGTGCCTGCCTAGCAAACACAAGGTCCCAAGTTCAATCCCTGGTACCACATGCCATGCTGGCTGGGAACCAGGCGTGGTGGTGCACACCTATAATCCCAGCACTAGGGAGGCTGAGATAGAAGGATCACTATGAGTCCGAAATGCAAGACCCTGTAGCCAAAATACTCTTAAATAAAAAAGCCATTAATCATTATGTTAACACCTTCTAAACACCACTTAAGTTTTCAATCATAAGTAAACTTACGCAAAATACAGCTTTAAAAGATTCAAAATATATACAGTGGGCCTATTAATGGAAGCCTACTCTTAATGAAAATGAATTAAAGTATTAACTGAAGCTGAAGTGTTTTAACTGACAGTTGACAGATTAAACTGAAAGCCAAAGTTCTTCAAAGTAAGTTTGATAACTGAAATTTGGGGAATTTAGGAAAGGTAAACTCTTCTTAGGAGTCTTTAGTTATGTGGGTTCATGCTATGTGATCATCTTTTTATTCATGAGTATAAATTATAACAGTGCTGAACTCTTAATCGAGATAAAGTAATTAATGTCACCATAAATTAGACTTCATTAACAGTTCTAAAGCATGTTAGCCCAATTCCTTCCAATTTTTTTTTTGGGGGGGAGGGGTTTGCCTTCTTTTTAACTTTGAGATAGTACCTTTAACTCAGCTATTTAGTTATTGACCAGAGGCACTACTACCCAAGAGTTTACCTAGAAACCTTCCTGAATTGTAGGAGACGACAGTAACTTATGAAGGTTTTATATTTCTTGAATTTTATTATCACCACTTGTCCAACAGTGGCCAGTTTGTAATGTTTATATAGTTATTCATTGTACCTTAGATATTTATACTTTATTTATGCAAGCTATAAAATTTCTCATTAAATGAGTTGTTAAGAAAATAGGGGCTAAGAGGAAGAAGATGAGAAAGAATTGAGATGTGTTGTGCACATGTACCAACTTCCCACAATTAATGTAATCATGATGTACTGCCAATACATACTAATAAAAATTTAAAAAAGAAAATTGGAATAATGTCTTAAGTGTTTGGTCAGATGGTACAACCCATCTGATCCTCCTTGCTTTTTATTTTGAAAAATAATTAATTTTTACTATATTTTATTGGTGCATTTTAGATATACATAATGATCACACTCTTCATAGAGAATTCATGTGTCCATGGTATAACTTGCTTTTCCCCATTTCTCTACCCTTCCTTCAATCCCACCTCTCCTCCCCTTTACAAAAGCCTTGTTCGCATGTTTTCTTTTTTTTCTCATACTTTTTAGTTTTCCCTTCTTTCCTTTCTTCCTCCGCTTCCCTATATTCTCCTCCCCATTTGAACATTTTCTTCCTATTTCACAATACATTTTAGTCCTTATTTACACTTTCACTTTCTCACACCAGAGAAATAATACACACGTATTATTTACACATGTGTGTCTGAATTATTTCACTTAAGAATATGGACTTAAGGTGCATCCATGTTCCTAGAATTGTCTTGAGCATATCCTCCTTTATAGCAGAACAGTACTCTGATCTTCTTTATCCACTTAGCAGTTGATGGGCACTTGAGTTGCTTCTAAGATTTTGCTATTACAAACTACTGCTGTACAAGATTTCTTCTTTCGCTTATATTCTCCACTTCATATAAAACTAAGCTAAAACCAGTTGCCTACCGGTGTTGTGTCACTTTTGCCATGGCCCTTAGCGACGCTGATGTACAAAAGCAGATTAAGCACATGATGGCTTTCATTGAACAAGAAACCAATGAGAAAGCAGAAGAAATCGATGCAAAAGCTGAAGAAGAGTTCAACATTGAAAAAGGTCTTCTTGTGCAAACGCAGGGACTAAAGATAATGGTATACTATAAGAAGAAGGAAAAGCAGATTGAGCAGCAGAAGAAAATTCAGATGTCCAGCTTGATGAATTAAGCCAGGCTGAAAGTCCTCAGAGCAAGAGATGACCTCATCTCTGACCTGCTCACCAAAGCAAAGCAGAGACTCAGCAAGGTGGTAAAAGATACTAGGTACCGAGTACTGCTAGATGGACTGGTGCGCCAGGCTTTGTACCAGCTGTTGGAGCCCTGAAAGTGTGCTGCAGGAAACAAGATTTCCCCTTGGTAAAGCCTGCAGTGCAAAAGGCCATCTCTATGTACAAAATTGCCACTAAGAAAGATGTTGATGTTCAAATTGATCAGGAGGCCTACCTGCCTAAGGACATAGCTGGTGGAGTTGAGATCTATAATGGGGATCATAAAATAAAAGTTTCCAACACCATGGAGAGTCAGCTGGATCTCATAGCCCAGCAGATGATGCCAGAGGTTTGGGGAGGCTTGTTCGGTTCAAATCTAACAGGAAGTTTTTGGACTAAGCCTCGGTGAGGTGGAATTCATGTTCTGCTCCTCATCTGAAGAAGCAAGACTGTGGCTTTCTCTCCACTGTTCTGATACTGTCTGCACTTACCAATGATGCCCTTTTTGGGGCCAGGGAGATGGCTCAGTGGAATAAGCGCCTCCCTGCCAAGTGCAAGGGCCTGAGTTCAATTCTTGGTTCTGCCAAAAAAAAAGAAAAAAAATGATGTCGTTTTGTAGTGGTCACCCTTGGCCTGGGCTCACTCAGTGTCAGGCCCATCCCAGCCCTCCTACCCCTGCGGTCGCCCCCCACCCAAAGGCGCTGTGCATGCTTTCCTGCCCTCTGGGTGTAAACTGAATGTGGAGCCTGCACTCTCCCTCAGCACCAATACCTGCTTGGGCCTAGAAGCATTCCTCATCTGTAAATGTGATTTAAAAGCTAACCTACAGATTATTTATTAAAATGAAAGGTTTATGTGGGAAAAAAAAAGTCTGCTGCTGTAAACACAGGTGTGCACAGATCACTGTGGTATAATGCGTTTTATACTTTTGGTAAGATACTCAGGAGGGGAATGGCTGGGTTCAATAGAACCTGCAATCCTAGTTTTTTTTATTATTTTTATTTTTTATTTTTTTTTAATCCTAGTTTTTTTTGAGGAGTCTCTACGCTGATTTCCACACTTGTTGCACCAGTCTGCACTCCCACCAACAGTGGAGAAGGGATCCTTTTTCCTCACAGCCTATTGCTTGAGTTCTTGATAATGGCCATTCTTTCCTGGATAAGATGAAATCTCAGTGTTGTTTTAATCTGTATCTCTTGAACGACAAGTGATATTGAACAAACAATATTAATTATTGATTAATTTTCTTTAATAGATGTGCTCCTGGCTGGCTGTGATGGCACATACCTGTAATCCTAGTACTCAGGAGGCTAAGGCAGGAGGATAGTACAGCGCAAGGCCAGCTTGGGCTACATACTGAGTTCAAGGCCAACCTGAACTACACAGCAAAATCCTGTCTCAAAAATAAAATAAAGTTATGGACCTATTCAAGTTATCTGGTTCTTTCTGTGTAGCACCCTGTACTTTTTAGGAATTAGCTCAGTTCATCTAGGTCATCAAGTTCATAAATATAAGGCTGTTCACAATATTTTATTAACTTTTAATGCCCCTTGGATCTCCAGTGACAGTTCTTCTTTTGTTTCTGGTTGTGTCTTTTAGGCTTGGCTAGAGACTTACTGATTTCATTGATTTTTACAAACAATTAGCTTTTGGTTTCATTTATTTTCTCTGTTAATTTCCTATGTCAAACATCATTGATTTTTAATTTTTTTATTTTAAAGAGTACAAACTCTCTTGATCAAGAGAGAGGTTGCTCTCATAGATCTGGGTCTCACAAAGTGTCTCAGATTACCAGGTCCGGATCTACCAAGTTTGAACTCATCTAGGTGGGCCTGGCTTGGGTCTGGCTGCTGTGCTCTGCTTCTTCCTTCTACAGCCTATGGAAGTGAACCCACTGTGCCCCTTTGGGAACACAGCTCCTGGATGAGTTGGGTGGGCCTTGCCTCTAACCTCTCTGCAGGGAGTTCTGCTGCAGGGTTCTACACCAGGCCTGTCTGATGGAGGAGGTTCCAGTGGGTGGGTGGGTGGGCACATGCACAGGAGTGTGTGTGCACACACACACACACACACACACACACGCACGCACACATGTGCACGCCGGGCCTGGGCACTGGCTGGAAGTTAAACACTGCTTTTGTTACGTAGCATAATTTTTTATAAGTTGCATTCTAATTTTCATTTAGTTCTAAATATTTTTAAATTTACCTTGAGATTTATTCTTTGACACTTATATTTTATGAGTTTGTTTAATAGTCACATAGTTTGAGATATTTCAGCTATTTTTGTGTTACTGATTTCTAATTTAATGTCATTTTGGCTTGAAAACAGACATTACATGATTTATATTCTTTTACATTTGTTAGGTGTGGGGTGTTCTGTTTTTATTTTTATTTATTTCTGTCTTTTTTGAAACAGGGGCTCACTGTGCAGTTTAAGCTGGCCTGGAGCTCACTTTGTGGCCCAGGCTGGTCTCAAACTCACAATTCTCGTGCCTCAGCCTCCCTAGTGTTGGGATTACAGGTGTGCACCACCACACCCAGCACTAAGGTGTGTTTTATAATCCAGGATGTCCATACAAACTTGTTAAGAATATATTTTGCTGTTGTTATATCAAGTAGCGCATATATATATATATATATATATATATATATATATGTTTTATCAAGTTGATTCATCTTATTGAGAGAACTATGTCCTTACTGATTTTCTGTCCTTTTCTGAAGTCTCTAATTATAATAGTAGATTCATCTATTTTTCCTTTTATTTCTGTCAGCTTTTGCTTCATATATTTTGATACTCCCTTTTTCCCACTAAAATGGCTTTATTTTTGTCATTGACACATGCATGATGCTGCAATTTTATCACTGTTTGGTTCCTTAAATATTACTAGGTGTGCATTAAAAATAAATGTTTACATTTAAGAAATGTGACACACTGCAGTCCTCTGTAATCCTCTTTCAATATATTTTCAAACATAAATGATTATATAGAGTAAATAAAATTATTAGCAATAAAAAGAGGCAGTGTATAATCCTTTTTCAATATATTTTCTTCCTTTGTTCATATATAAATAACTTTCTCTACAAAATCATAAATTAAACCACCAACTCTTTTTTGTTTTTGGCTCCGAATGCCTTCAAGGGCAGGTTTGGCTGGCTGGAGTTGTGGGGATCAAACCACAGCAACCTGAGCCTGACTGCTTTGTTGAAGCAGCCACTTAAAGAACTGAGCTAAGGGGCAAGCCCCCAAACCACCAACTCTTAAGGCTTAGAAATATACATAAAATTTGGAGTGTGAGGAAAATGGTTTTTTAAAAAATTGTGTAAACAGGCACTATTTGCTGTGTTGATTACTAGGCAAATGCTTATTCAAGCTCGGTCTTCTAACTCATTATGCAAAAAAAAAAAAAAGACTGCACTTTAATTTGGAAGGTCAAAATAGTTAAAAGCCAACATTTTTTTTTTTTAATGGCAGATAAAGTGACTTTAAATATTGCTAAATTTTATTGAAATCCTTCTGGTACCTGAACAAAAAAGAACTGCTACTCTAGTGTGAATTCTTGTACAATTATTTAAATGGCATCTGACAAAATGCAAAAGTTAAGAAACAGAAAAATAGTTCATTAAATCTGGGGAAAGGGGGTTGGTGAGATGGCTCAGTGGTCTAAAGCACTTACTTACAACAAGCTAAGCTAAGCAAAAGGACAGGGACCGTGGTTCAATCCCCAGCACCACATGCCAGCCAGCCCGCCCCCTGGTGGGCTGAGCTGGCCACACACACACACACACACACACACACACACTAAATAAATAAATAAATTTTAAAAAAAATCTGGGGAAAAAAGCTTTTAAAAAATCATTTTTTAAAAAAATTAGGCACTGGTACATCAAACATTGTTATCTTCTTTGAATATTGATATCTTTACCATTATACACTGCCTCTGTTTACTGTTAATAATTCTATTTACTGGGCTGGTGAGATGGCTCAGTGGTCTAAAGCACCTAATAAACTAAGCCAATCAAAGTACGAGACCGCGGTTCAATCCCCCAGCACCACATGCCAGCCAGCCCGCCCCCTGGTGGACTGAGCAGGCCACACACACAAAATAAATAAATTAATTAATTAAAAAAAATTCTATTTACTCTATATAATAATCATTTATGTCTGAAATTAATATTTCTGCTTCAGCTTTCCTTTGGTTAATTTTAATACGTAATTCTCCCTCCACTGACATTTAATCTGTATGACATATTTAAAGTGATTTTCTGGGGTGAGGGAGATGGCTCAGTGGAATACGCATTTTCCTGGCAAGCATAAGGGCCTGAGTTCAATCCGTAGTTCCTTCAAAAAAAGAAAAAAAAAAAGTGATTTTCTGTAGACGAAATAGAGTTGGATCTTAATTTTTACAATAGACTCCCAGTCTCAGTTTTATTTAATTTTTTAAATATTTGCTTTTTTGCTTTTTTTTAAAATATAGGCTCTTACTATGTATCCCAGGCTGGCCTTAAACTCTCAATCCTCCTTCCTTAGCCTCTTGAGTGCTGAGATTACAAGTGTGTGCTATAAGGCTGGCTAGCTGTTTATTTTAAAATGATAAATTTTATTGAAATCATTCAGGTATCTGAACAAAACAAAATCAGGGGGCTGGCTCCATAGCTCAGCGGTCTAAAGCACCTGCTTAAGCAAATCACAGGGACAGAGGTTTGATCTCCGGCACCACATGCTGAGCCAGCCCCACCCCCAGGGCGGACTGAGCCGTCCCCACCCCGACAAAAGAAAAAAAAAAAAAAAAAAATCAGCCTGCTGTGTTCCTGGGGCTGATCTCCAACTCAAGTGATCTTCCTGCCTTTGCTTCCGTCCCCAGTAGCTAGATCTATAGTTGGGTTTTCTTTTTCGTTGTTGCTTCTGGCTTTATTTGGTTTAGTTTTTTCAGGCTGGGGCGCCCTACATAGTTCAGGATATCCTTGAACTCACAATGATCCTCCTGCCTCAGCCTCCTGTGCTCGGGGATTTTTTTTGCTGGCTTCTTCCAAAAATTCTTTATATTTAATTTCCTGCAGTTTGACTATGATATACTAAAGTATAGCTTGTGTTATCTGCTTTATTGGCATTTATCCTCCGCGATATTCTCCCAACTTCCTAGGCTATGATTGGGTTCTCACACTAAGTTAGAGAAATTCTGAGCCACTATTGCTTCAATATTTCTCTTATCTTTATTCTCTTCTAGTTTTTGTTATGCATATTTTAAATCTTTCTCAATTGTCCCATGGTACTTAGGTTCTCCCCACCCCAGTTCTTGTTCTCTTTGTGCTTCAATTTTGAAAGTTTCTACTGACATATCTCAAGTCAGAGATTCTTTTCTTAGTCTAGCCTACTCCACTAACAATCTATTAAAGGTATTCTTTATTTTGTTTTTTTCTGGCAGTTTAAAATGGCCTGGAATTCCTGATGACTCACCACCCCTGGAGGAGCTTC